AAAAGGTCTGAGAAAATATCTCAATTCCTTAACCAAGAATAAAGCTAATATGCCTTGCGTCATCTGGATTTCTTACCAAAAAACTCTTAGTAATGAATCAATGGGTAAAATTAATGATCTTAAATTATCTGGACTCAGAATCTGTAATTATCAAGATGAACAGAGCTTGTCTGTGGATAAGTGGGATATTATCATAGTTCAAGTTGAGAGTCTCTCTCGTATAGAATTCTCAGCCCGTCTGATTGTAGCTATTTTAGATGAAGTCAATGCAATTCAACGTCAAATGAATAGCGGTTCAAATGCGCAGGAATCTGAAAATGCAATGCGTGATGTGTTAAAATCAGCTCAACATGTTTTAGCCATGGATGCATTTGCAAATGAAAGTACACTAACATTTCTCAGGGCTTATCGTGGTGAAAATATGTGCCTTGGCACTAGCTCCGCTATCCGAGTAATTGATAATAAATTCCAACCACTTATAGGTAAGACTGTTGAGTATCTTTACGACCCAAATAGCGGGGCTGAAGCTATGCGAATAGGGTTTGAGTATTTGAAACAAGGCAAACGCGTGGCATTTGTTGTAACAAGCTCTAATATGGCTCGAGCATTAGTAAAAGAAGCTTCTAAATTATCTTTCAAAGCTCGTGCCTATTATGGAGACATGGATGGAAAACAGCGAAAAAAAGACTTTTTAGATATTAATACTGCTTGGGGTGAACTTGATTGTGTAGCTTATACAAACACAGTAGAAGCAGGTATTTCTTTCGAGAAACCTAATCACTTTGACATAGTTATAGGCATTACAAATATTGGAACTCCAGTTAATGTAGAAGCATTTATCCAGATGATGTTCCGAATTTGTGATTGTGAAAAGCGTATACTTTCACTTTATTATCAAAAAATTTCCAGTGAATTTTCTCGTTCACCAGGTCATGAAAATATTCGGGCTGAACTTGCAGTTGCCCAGCCTAATGATTTGCCTACAGCAATTAAGGGACATCGTGAATGGGATATAGATAGCATTTCCTATAAACTTGATCAATCTCCCACTGTAACATCATTTATTGAAGTTGAGCACCAGAAACGTCTTTCAACCAGAAATTTTATCGAGATTTCATGTAGCCTTATTGCCAGTACTGGAGCAAGTCTTAAATTAATAAAAATGGACGAAAATAAAGAAATTATAGGGAATCGTAAAAAAGTTCGTAATGAGATTAAGGCTGAAGCTTTAGTTATCAAGGATACAGATTTTGATGCAGTCGCCACTTCTCGAAATCTTACTCTTGAGGAAGCCGAATTTCTTAAACTCAATTCAGAATGTTCAGTTGCAGATACTATGGCACTTAAGCATTTTTATATGTGGAACCTTTATAGTGGAAATGGTATGAGCATCGAGGATTGGAATAAACTCTGCAATAAAGATTTTGTAGAACGTTTTAGTCCACCCGAACCTAGAAAACATTTCTTGCGTCTATCTCATTTTTACAAGCAAGGCTATGATGAAGAGAGTGCAATAGAAGAATTAAAGGCCAAAGACATCGCACAATGGGAAGATACTTGTTATAATGCTAAAGATAATTTTGAGGATTCAGTAGCAAAAGATTTACGCAAAACATATTCAGCGAATCATTGGGAAGCTGTACGAAGGCTTTTACAGTCGCTTGGTTTTACAGGTATAGATGATAAACGCATTCTCTCTGATGATCAGGTAAAAGTTGCGTTTGAGGCATCTCGTGAAAAATTTATAGAAATTCGAAGTCAATCTTTATTACTCTTTGGCTTTAAATCTCATGCAAAAGAAATGCCAGATCTTAACTCAGCTATAAAGGCTATCAATGCAATTGTTGGCAATTGGTGTGGTTATACTATAAAAAGTGAGCGAAAATTGGTAGGATCAAAAGGACAACAGATTTGGAAATATTCATATCAAATTAACCGAAAAGCATATAATAGTTGTGGTTTTGATAATCAAGAAGAAGTAATGGCTAGGAAGTTAGATAATCCTGAATATTGCCCTATAGCTCCAGTTCTTCCATCATATAAGCCAAAGGTAAGTGATGAGATTCAGGATCTTTTCGATTCTATACCTATTATTAATAATATTACTTCAGAACATGTTGAGCATAAAATTTCTGACTCATCAAGTAATGCGATTGATGAAAAAGATTTACCTTTGAAAATGCCAGCCCGTAATCAATCTGCTGGTCTTTCCCAAGATAGATGCCATGTTGATATTATTAATGAAGCCAGTATAGTTGAGAATAAAATACCCGAATCCTTAATTCCTCTATCTTCAGAATTTCTTATTAAAAATGAATCGGATATAGACACCCTTACCCTTCTTTTACAGCAAAAATACCAAATGTCTCAAGAAAGGCTAGAACAATGGCGAACCAAGATTGCCTTTGAATTGCGGGATAACCAAAATTACTGGAAAAAAGAGCGCGAGAGTATGAATGAAGCCGAGTTCTTGGAATATAAACGAAACTTTGAGGCTAAAATGAAAGTTCCTACTACTCCGCACAAAAGAGAATTGAAAAATAAATCTTTAGCCCTCATCGAATATGTGTAATTGTTATAAATGTTTCAGCGAAGCAAGTAAAGGTGTCAAGACAATATCATCTAGTTAAGTAATAATTTCTGGAGAAGAGAGATTGCTACGTTTAACTAGTTATATATCCGGGTAAAGGGGGTTTTTGTCGCCTCTTACAATAAATGAGAGAAAAAATTCAAATAAAAAATTAATACTTCGATATCTAGATCATAAAGAGCTATGGTGGATAGTCACTATTGCCCAATTTATGTGCCTAGTCACGAAAAATTTCTCATATATCAGTCAGTAAGGTAAGTGGTCACGTTCCGAAAAAGAACATGCATATAATATACGTGCCAGGTAGTCGATAACCATTTTTGTGTCGCACGATTTTGATCTTGATATATATATTATAAAATTACGCTTTTGTGGGTCACCAAGTCAAGTAAAAAAAGTGGGTATCAAAAAAGTAATACGTCAAGGTTATCAAAAAAGTAATCCAATTTTTTGACACGATGTGAAAGTACTCGAAGGCACTAACTATGCGAGAAAGAGTTCTAGAATCGAAAAATATAGCAAACTTTTGGTAATACGTCAAGGCAGAATATTATAAGGAAAAAGGTAAGATAAATTTGTGCTTTGACGTATTACCAAATAAGTGATAACAATTTGGCACTACGTGCCTCATTCTAAGATAACATAATAGATAACGATTCGGCACTATGTGCCTCATCCTCGGGTTACCAAATAGGATAACAATTCGGCACTACGTGCCTCATTCTAAGATAACATAATAGATAACGATTCGGCACTACGTGCCTCATCCTCGGGTTACCAAATAGGATAACGATTCAGCACTACGTGCCTCATCCTCGGGTTACCAAATAGGATAACAATTTGGCACTACGTGCCTCATCCTTGGGTCACCAAATAGGATAACGATTTGGCACTACGTGCCTCATCCTCGGGTCACCAAATAGGATAACGATTCGGCACTACGTGCCTCATCTTTGACGAGGCAAATGCAAAATGTTCGTCACTCGAATGACGAGGCAAATGCAAAACACACGTCACTTGAATGACAAAGCAAATGCAAAACACACGTCACTCGAATGACAAGGCAAATGCAAAACGTTCGTCACTCGAATGACAAGGCAAATGCAAAACACACGTCACTCGAATGACGAAGCAAATGCAAAACACACGTCACAGATGAGGGGGAATAACCTAGACTAAGTGGGAACGACATAATTATGTCGTTCCCACTATCTTGAATACCAAATAAATGAACTTTACATGGACTAAGATAATAGATTTTACTTACTTGTTGATCTAAATGTGGCACATGAACATTTTGGGCTCAATCATAACTATAATGAGCAGTAGCATCAATGCTGCAATATGGTGTTTTACCCTTTGAATAATGTTGATCAATTGGTTTTCTTTGTTCTTCTGCTAATTTGGTATTTTTATTATAATGATTTCTTTCCAGTTTGGCCTTGGACAGATGCTCTTTAAATTTTATAAGTAAATCTTTGGCTTCTTCCTCTTGGTGAGCATTATAATGTAAACCACCTCTAAAATGCTGACAAGTATCACATAAATCAGTTCTTGGACTCAATTTGAATCTCTGGTATTAATCAATGTCATAATTTTCTGAATGCATCATATTTTAAGGATTTCAAGTTACTATCTTCTTCTAGACCAGCTAGAAAATCTCTGTGGACTGATTTATAACTCAATTCAGCTGGTAAAAATATAATTGATTGGGTTATTCTATTGATATTTCTTCCTGGACTTGGTAACCCATAGACTTCTGCATAATTTTCCAGAAAATTCTTTACTATTTCAGCAACATTTTTATCAATCATCATTTTAGTTTTCCATTGAGGCATCCTTTTGATATTACCATGAATTCTTGGCAGAAGACCATTGTTTATCAGATGATTTCTAATGTTTTCAAAATAAGTCCTACCAATTCCTAACATATTGAGGTAAGTTTCTTGACAAAGGGGTGTATTGTGATCCCAATGGTAGAAAGTTTTTTTATTAGATCTAGTTTTCTTTTTAAGGCATCTACTAGTGCTTATTAATCCCCCATCCATTGCCTTAAGTTGGGCCATTAAAAATATGTATTGTTCAGACTTGGAAAGAGCTTGAAAGGATTCCCTTAATGCTGCAAATTCTTCCTTGGGAATTCTTGAAGAACAACCACAATCACAGCCTTTTTCTAAAAAATCAATTGCCTTTTGATATTGAAATTCGTAAATTACTTGCAGAGGGAAAAGGTGTTGCTGCTTCCACAATGAAAAACTTCTACTAATGAAAAACAAATCCTAGAAGAAAAATGATAAAAGCAATTCAACAGTGGGTTAACCAGAGAAAAGAAGTAAGAGGTGGAGAGTGAAAATTATGGAAGATAATAAAAACAATGAAAATATAAATATTGGTAATAATAATGAAGGTTAAATTTTTGTCAGAGCGCCAAAAGAATAGGTAATAATCACAATGGCTTTGGGTCCAAGTATTTTCCTCTCATGCAAGTACTCTGTCAATTTTTAACTTATATTTTTATGTATATTTTTCTATTGTTAGTTGAACTAAAATAAAAATAATTTTCTTTTTGTCATTTAATCATTGTCCGTAAATTCCAAGTCATGTGCCCACTAATTTATTATTGGTCATAGAAACAATTAGTTCGATCTAAATCAATAAAAAAATTTTTTTTTTAATTTTAAATTTCAAAAATGACAACGATCGAAGATGTTAAGAAACAGTTAAAAGAGGCAGAAAAAGAATATGAAGAAATTTCAGGAAAGTTGGAGAGACTGGAAAAGTTGAGGAGAGGTGCAGAAGAAAATTACATGGGTGAACAAGAGAATTTAGAAAGAAAAGAAGAGGGATTGGAGGGAGAGAAGAAAGAGTGGGGAGAAGAAATAAGGAAGTGCAGGAAGTTGTTAAGGAAGGAGTTAGACAAAGAGAAAGGTAATGAACAAATTGCATAATAAAATATACAAAAAATTATTTTCCATTTATTCATTCATTCATTATGTTTTTCATTTAGTTCTACTCCCAAAACGCCAACATGTTAATGATAGTGTTGTTAATGCTGTTGTACGTGCATTTGGGAGAGAATACAAAGATTATGGTTTACTGAAAGGGTTTGAGGATTATTTAGAAGCATGTGGAAAGGAATGGCGTGAGCATCAAAAGTTCTATTATGCCCCATATTGTACAATGTTTCAAAGTTCAGGAATTGGAAAAAGTCACATGCTACGCAGATTTGCAGAAACTGGAGACTTTTATGTTTTTTATATTAATGTGAACAATCCTAGATCTGGTTCTTATCCTCGCGGACATCCCAAATTGCATAATTATTTTACTATAACACATTCAGCTTATTCAAACTCCACATATGATGTTGAAAAGATATTTCAAATACGCCTAGTGTATTTTGTCTATGTATTGTTAGAACATTTATGTTCCATACAAGATATACAAAAGGTTAGACAAGAGGTGAAACGAGTGGTAGCCATGCTTTGGGGTGAAGATGCATTGAGTGAAGCAAAGCAGTTTGATATAGATCTTTGGACCAAACAAGCAGAAGAGTATTCAAAAGATTATTTTAGCCAATATGAGAAGGAAACATATGTTGACATTGAATGGAAAATGCAGAAACTTTTGAATGACAAATTTGAATGCATTCATGAAGCTTTTACAACAGACACTATTCGTAATGTGAATGTGCTCTTTGCTTTTGATGAAGCACGGACAATGATTAACATTGAGGATGGACATGAAGTTAGTCCAGTCTTTACTGGTGTGCGACGTGGTCTTCGGAGTCTTCCATTGGGATTTTTTGCTTTATTTTCTGATACTACATCAAACTTATCAAATTTTTCACCACCTCTTGGTATTGATCCTTCATTACGACCTCGAGGGCAACAGGAATCTTGGAAGCTGTTCCCACCATTCTTTGCATTTCCTACCTTTGACATGTATGCACCCACACTTGATGAACTTATGCATAAAACACAGGAGGTTTCTGCTGATAAGGTAGTAAAGTTGTTTGATTTTGCTAATATCATAGTATATGGACGTCCATTATGGAAGGCATTATTTGATGCAGGTATTCCAGGAAGGGAAATAGAAAGGTTTGCACAAGATAAACTTTTTACAGGAAATTACCATGCAGATTCATATTACAAACTTTCATTTGAAGAGGTTCTATCACTTGTAGCATTCAAAATTTCAATCAATCTACATACAATTGATCAACAT